ACAATTTATCTCAAGAAATCGTCAGGTCTCCCTCTTTGAATGGTACAATATCAACAATCGAATATAAGCATACTATTATCACCGCTTCAACAATCATTGATGGTACTCATCCTTCCACAATCAATACTAATAATGATGCCGGAAATTCGGTCAACAACGCGTCCAATGAAATAATTTCATTGGATCAATTCCCTTTTTTATCCGGAAATTTGAATATTAACGTTAATAATTATGCGGATTCAACAACCATTGATAATATTCATTCTTCCACGATCATTGATGGTACTCATCCTTCCACAATCAATACTAATAATGATGCCGGAAATTCGGTCAACGTGTCCAATGAAATAATTTCATTGGATCAATTCCCTTTTTTATCCGGAAATTTGAATATTAACGTTAATGATTCAACAACCATTGATGATATTCATTCTTCCGATACTAATAATGACGTCGGAAATTCGATCAACATGTTTAATGAAATGATTTCATTAGATCAATTTCCTTTTTTACTTGGAAATGTTGATATTAACAACGGATTTTCTATTAATACCTCGATCGACAATTCTTCACAACCAAACCAAATTCGTCACCAACCACTGATATCATTACCTTCGTTACCTTCTATGAGCAATGCTAATTCACCAAATCTACCTTCTACAAACAACGACGATTTTTTGTTGATTAACACTGGTGAAATCGACAATGACATATGGGAACAATTGCAAAGTATTCTGTCCTCGATGATATGAATGATATTAGCAATAGAACTTATCCCTAATTCTTTTCAATCGTTTCATATAGAGATTAACGTGTTTAGACAAATTTCTTATCGTTATATTATTAAATTTATTTATTTCCACTTCTCCTTATATTTAAAACACCATGAATAATATGATTAGATTCCCTAATTAATCCCTTGCAACTAATATGTTAAGTTTATTATATTTATGCGAATTTTTAAGACGCTCTGCGTGTTTTCCACTTATTTTGGTCATTTATTCTGTCTGCTTTTTCGTTTGTTTTATCCTTTCGTTCAGCTTGTTAATCCATTCTATCTGTTCGTTTATTTTGTTCATTTATTCTGTCTGTTTTTTTTTCGTTCTTTCATTTTGTTTTTTGTTCATTAGTTTTTTCTATATCGGTTTATATTCTTTAATAAAATGGTTCATCGCTTAATAAATATTATTAATGATACCAAAGGATTTCTTTATATTGTAATGAGAATGGTGGTTTATTAAGATACAAGTCATTACCAGGGCATAAACAGAATCTGAAAAATTGAATAATGCTTTGTATATAATTTGGCCTGCTAAACCAAAAAAAAATGTATGCTCCATGATACCACCAATGAATGATGGATAACAATCAAATATTTGAAGGCGAATACGTAGATACTTTTTTTGCAAATTTATAAATTGAATGTGTAAAATCTTTATGTAAATTAACACAGCAATAGCAATGCTCAATAAATATATAGGGTATTTTTAGACATTGCTTGGAAAATTTACCTCATCAAGGAATACTCTCGGTTCTCAAGAAGAAATAGTCTTTTGATCGAAAATTAACTTTATATGTCATAATATCAAGGTCATCATATAAACTTACAAGGAGTGAATGATATGATTTCTGCTTATTATAACATGCCCAAGAATCCTTTATCAATTCAGAAATCAATGAGATCGTAACTCGTGAAATTGATCGTCAATTTAATGCATCTTTAAATATTTGAATTCGCTAAATGATGATGCAGACGGGAAAAAAATTATGTTCGTAATCGATCCGGTGAAAACTCTACTGTTCGACGAGTTTATAAAAATCTTGTGATATTAAGTCAATTGATATAATTTGATATAAAATTCATATGATATAATTAATTGAATAAATTTAATTATTTAATTATTTAATTTTGAATAATCAATTAATACTTTATTTCAAATTTAGCTTTTCTAATATCTAACTAAAACTAGTCGTCTTTCTAATTGTTTGCTAAAATAACTTTTATAACTATAAAATATATAATTAACTTTCAAATAATATTATTTAGTCAAACTTAGTGCTAATTTATCTTCATAAATTTTGATCTAATAAAATTGTAAGCTAAAAACCCCCAAATTGTAACTAAAAAAATTCAAAATTTATACATATAATAGCTTACAAAAATAATGCATCACTTTCAAAATTTACTATTAAAACATAGATTTAATTCAAAAAAAATTTTAATTACAAAAGCAAATATAAAATTTTTTATTAATAGAAACTTTATACAGTGGCTAACATAATTATGGAATCACCTGAATAAAAATTTTAAAATAGCAATATCTCATAAACTAGAAATA